TGCCAGAAGCCAGAAGAAATAACTGCATGCACAGATTTGGTTTAATATTAGGAAGGCCTTGATAGGTATTGAAGCTGGAATGAAGCAGATATAGTAAAGGAAAGCGCGCCAGTCCTACGGATACCGCTTTGAGAAAGAAAAAGGTTTAAGGAGGCTCAAAGGGCTGCACGGGTAGGCAAAACTCCCTGCTGGGCGCTGATTTTTTACTGAGTTGAGGGAGATTAATCAGTAAAAGAGTGAGAGCCCTGCAGGTCACTCGAGGAAGAGTGTAGTGTTTTGTTGTATGAGACTGAAACTGTGTCTGTGTCCATATGAATGTCTGTGTGAGTGATGGTGAATGTATGAGGAAATAAATTAATTCCATATTGGATGGGTACTGGCTGCGCACCCCTTCCTGGCAGAGTGTGGACGCAGCTCGTATGAATCAAGATCTTGTATAGACTTTTGCATGTTTGGTGTCTGTGTGAAAGGAAAGGAGAAATTTTTCTATGATCAGTGCAGTAGAAGTGAGACCAGTGCACTAAGTTAGATAAGTATGTTAAAAAATTATTATAATTGCAGGCAAAATAATAAAGAGAAGTAAAGATAAATAAAAAATTATTATTAGAAATTTTTTACATAATGAGGGATTGTAAAATAAAGTTGAGAATATCAATTCATACAAAAAGTAAATGTATCAGACAGAATAAAAATAAAATTCAAAGATGCATGTTGGAGGATGCGGTCGGTTTAAACTCTAACACACACAAAGAGTTTTGTGACCATGTGTCTCATGCCGTAAAACAAAACAGAAAAAAGAGCAAAAACTCAAGAGCCAAGAGAAAGAACTACAGCGAAAATTAACTCAATTACAGCTTGAAAAACTGACAAACAAAAATAAGAAAAAGATTCAAGCTTCAACAAAGAAAGAAGAAGCAGAACAAATGACAATGATGTCTCCAGTAAATGCTCCGCAACCAACTATTCAGTCAAGCCCACTTACAGCAGTCCCTCCAAACGCACACCCGATCCCAGTAATTATAATTAATGTTTATACTCAACAGCCAGGACAAATGGGATGGAGAAAAAAAACCAATACAGAGAGGCCAGAAAGGAAGAGGCAAACCTTTTACTGGTCCTCCAGGTGTGTGCTGGGCATGTGGACAGCCCGGACATAATACAAATGACTGTCCCACCTATCCATGGCAACAGTACCCTCAGGGTGGAAGGGGGGAGAGCTGGCAACAGCCTAACCGAGGTACTTCACAGGGCCCAGTTAACCCTTGGGGAGGTCCCAATCCAGGTTATTAGGGGTGCCCAGAGAATCCTACAGGGGAGAGTCAGCTTCCAATTTTAACAACTAAAGCTGATCAAGAGCCTATTATGCAAATTAACATAGAGGGAAAAACCACACCCATTATGTTAGACACATGTGCTGTCTATACCTGTTTAAATTTAATATATGCCTCATATCTCCCCTTATCGCATGGTTTTGACCATTGCGCAAGGGGGGAAGTGATAAGAAAAATGTAAAAACAGGGATATTGGTCTCCTTATTTATATGCAATAGTGGATGAATTGTTGTCCACATGTGAAGTTTGTGCCAAATACAATGTGAGGAAAGGGATAGCGACACCAATAGGCCATATACCAGTACCAGAAGGGCCCTTTAAGCATTTGGTAATGGACTATGTGGATAAGATAAAGTGAGTACAAGGAAAAAGATACATGCTTGTGATCATAGACAGATTTAGCAGGTGGGTGGAGGCAA